GTTTTCCCATCTGTAAAAATAGAGAAAACAACAGCCCTGACTTTATAGAGTTATTGTCAGGATTGAATGAGACGTGACATACAAAGTGCTCAGCCCAGAGCCTTACCCACCATCAGTGTTAAATAAATAGCAGCAAGAATCATGACACCAGAGGTCCTAGCCAGAACAATTAGACAAGAGAAATAAAGAAAAGGCATCCAGGTAGGAAACGAAGTCAAACCCTCTCTCTTTGCTGACAATCTGATTCTATACCTAGAAAACTCTAAAGACTCCACCAAAAGGCTGCTGGAACTGATGAATTACTTCAGTAAAGTTTAAGAATACAAAATCAATGTGCAAAAATCAGTAGGATTTCTATACACCAATAACGTTCAAGCTGAGAGCCAAATCAAGAATGTAATCTCATTTACAATACCCACACATACAAAAAAATAAAATACCTAGGAATACATCTAACCAAGAAGGTGAAAGATCTATACAAGAACCGCAAAACACTCCTGGAAAAAAAAAACAAAAACGATAGATGACATAAACAAATGGAAAAACATTACTGCTTATGGATTGGAAGAATCAATGTTGTTAAAATGACCATACTGCCCAAAGCAATCATCTACAGAATCAATGTTATTCCTATCAAACTACCAATATCATTTTCCACTGAATTAGAAAAAAACTATTCTAAAATTCATATGGAACCAAAAACGTGACTGAATAACCAAAGCAATCCTAAGCAAAAAGAACAAAGCCAGAGGCATCACACGACCTGACTTCAAACTATACTACAATTACAGCTACAATAACTAAAACAGTATGGTATTGGTACAAAAAGACACATAGACCAACGGAATAGAAAAGAGAACCCAGAAATAAAGCTGCATACCTAACCATCTGATCTTTGACTAAATGCAAGACCTCAAACTATAAGAATCCTAGGAAAAAATCTTGGCAATACTCTTCTGCACATTGGTCTTGGGAAAAAATATATGGCTAAATCCTCAAAAGCAGCTGCAACAAAAGCAAAAATTGACAAGTGGGCCTGATTAAACTAAAGAGCTTCTGTGCAGCAAAAGAAACTATCAATGGAGTAAACAGACAATCTAAAGAATGGAAAAAAATATTCACAAACTATTCATCTGACAAAGGTCTAATATTCAGAATCTATAATGAACTTAACAAGAAAAAAAACCTATTAGAAAGTGGGCAAAAGATATGAACAGATACTTCTCAAAAGAAGACTGCCACAGTGAAATCCCTCCCACCATGTGCTATCACCTTCTCTGAGGATCACCATCCCCTGTCTGGACACCACTTTCCCAGGGATCAGTACCCAGTGACTGGACTGTCCCCTGGCCCCAAAGTCTCCTCCATAGTGGCTCTCAAGTTCCCAAAACAGAGTTCAGGTCTCATGGACTTTTGTGAGCCCAAGGCTTCCTGTGTTCCCTGCAGTAACGGGACTTCTCTTCCTCTTTCTGTTCTATCACTTTAACCTTTGACTTGCCCATAAAGTTTGGAATGTGTAATTTTGTACATTCCAAATGATATCTCACCAGTCCATCTTGGTCATGATCTCTTTCCTTATTGGAACTAATAGCATTTTCTTTAACACAGAGCTGCCTAATAGAATTTTTTTGTGAAGACGGAAATGTTTTGCATCTTTTCTTTCAATATAGTAACAGTAGCCACATTCTAAGCATTTGAAATGTGACTAGTGTAATCTAAGAATTGAATTTTCAATTATATTTAGGTAGCCATATGTGACTAGTGGCTTCTGCATTAAACAGCACAGCTTTAGATGCAGTGGTTGGCAAGTAAAAAACTTTCTCTTGACGGGAATTTGCAATAAGATAAAGGTGACTTGAGAGCAATGCTTTAACACCAATGTTTTACCCAATTTTAACAAAAGTGGCTCTTTCAGTTATTTTGGTACCTCTTTCCATTTTCTCCGCAGGACTCAGACAGGAGCCCAGGTCTGACTAATCCCATCATCCTCCAGACTTACCCACACACAACTGAATCCCAGTGATGGGTGTGACTCTCTTTCAAATGGATACTCTGCTACAACTACAATCAAACCCAGAATCTCAGGGAGGGAAAGGATGTGGCAGCATATGTAATCCACACCTCCATAGGCCCATCACTGTTTATGATTCTGGAATTGTTTACTGGGCAGTCCAACTCAGTGGAGCAAAAACAAAATGGCTTTACTTTTTTCAATTACTATCTCCTAATCTGATTTGCTCCTAACAAATAAAAAACAAACATTTTTTTGCCTTAGCACATTGTAGACAGATTCCTTTACTCTTGTCACTTTCAAACACTAAATTGAGGTTGGTTCACTCTATAAACCTTTTTCTCATATCTAATTCAGAATGCTCTCTGGCCCACTTCTCTCAGTTTTACAATCCTCCAAGTGTTGGAGTGGGAAGGAATAGGAAAGAAGTGACCACACCATTCCATGATGTGGAAGATCCGGCTTAAAAGGACATTTTCTGCTACTTCTCAGCAATGCCCTGGCGACACACACCACAGCCTATTGTTTCTGGATCCCTATGCCAGTGGTCAGGCCTCTTGGGCAGATCTTGACAAGACAGCTCAAGACTCCTCTTTCTCCAAGTGCAAACCACTCCTCAGCTGCCTTCTCTGTTCAGTTCACTTTCTCTTGCTCAGGTAGGCAAAGGGGGAGACCTGCAAGTCCATAGCTGAAGCAGATGTCCAGCTGGGGAATGAGGTGTCACTCTTCCCTTCTTGCAGCCCCTCCCCCATGTCTTTTGCCTTGGGGCAAGAGTGGACAGTGGGGAATAGGAAAAGAGTCTCTTCCTACTATGTATAAACTTTGTCCAAGGCTGTTGACCTAGATGATTTCTTTCTGTTCTTCTCCATACAGAAGGAGCGGTGAGGTGGTAGGGATAGGAGTGGGGTTGCCTGTGGAAGCCTAATCAGTTGCTTAGGCAAGTCCTAGGGAAACAGTATCTGACCCTGGTTTCCGAGAGCTCTCTTTTGAATGGGAGGCATCTGTCACCTCTTCTTTACAAGGTCCAGTGCAGTAGAAAAACTCATTCTACCAACCTTATCTCCTTATTGTCTTGGGCAGGACGTGTGGATCTTGGCAAGCTGCTAAGGGTCTTGGGTGAGCTTCTGGCAGAAGGGCTGTAGGCAGAAGCTGGCTTTGGTGGGACATGTCTGAAGATCAGAAGCTGGACAGAAATCTGAGCACCAGGAGTTGCTCTCTGGATTTTCAGGCAGTGTCACCCCTGTTCTGGGGTCCTCACATTGGAACAATGACTGCCCTGCTGCCTTGCTAGGATAGTACGGGCTCCCAGCATGCTAGCTCAGGCCTGAGGATAAAGCTCTTGGCTTTCTTTCTTGCCTCACAGGTGGGCAGTGGAGGAAGTTCCAGCCTAAAGTGGCCTGACCCCTTGGGATTACAGGCACCATGGGCAGTTGAGTCTCCCTGGTGAAGCAAACCTTGAAGGTGAGGTCTAGGAGGCAAAGCAAGAGGCTAGGTGCTCTGCTGGGCCCGCTGCCATGGAGGCCTGGCACAGCTGATAGTTCACAGTGATTCTTGGGAATGGATAATTCTCCAGTGTCACAAGTATCTGGCCCTCACACATTATTAGGCTAAATGCCAAGGTACTGTCATTCTTAGTGACCTGCACAATCAATTTGTGTGCTCAGACGTTTGTGGAGGCCAATGGGAGTGGTAGCTCTGGCCAGATTCTAGCATTTACTGCCTCCCCTTGACCTAAACCACTATCCTCTCCTAGATAGGCAAACCCTGTTTCCATCTACCCAAGAGGAAGACAGCTCCTCTGTGTTTCCAATTTTTTTTCTCTCTCTCTCCTTCCTTTCTTTTTTATACAGGATAGTAGGGACAACTCACAGCATATCTACTATTTCAGGGAAGCTTGCTGCATTGATCCTAAGGTGGTAGAAGTATCTTGTACTTCTCTTACTAAAGAACAGAAAAGAAAAAAAGAACAGAAAAGAAAATTAAATCTCCAGGACATGGTTCTGATAGAGTACCTGCTCCCCATGTACACATGAGTAAGAAAAAGAAGAAAAGCACCATTGCTCTTAAAGCATTAACCTCAAATTGGCTTTTGGCTGTCTTTTTGTAGCTTGAATATGTCCCCATTCTCAATACCATCTGTTCTCACACACCTGAAACCTTTAAATAGGCCAAACATTCCTATGACAGGTGAAAGATTACCATAAGCAACATACCCCATAAAGGAAATGTGGTTTTTTAAACTCACTGAATTCTGAAACTTACTTATAATTCACAAGGAAAACATCCAAAATGAATGCATAATAAAAATTATAAAATATGATTGCCTTCTCTTTATTAAAAGGAAAATACAGAGCTGAAAGCTGAATCAGCTTTTCCTTTACAATTGAATGGCTTTTTCCTTGTGGTCTGGCCAACTTTCAGAAAACTTGCTTTTTTTCTTAAAAAAATATATTGGCTCTTTTTTTTCCCTTTTTCCTATTTATTTATTTATTGATGGGAACTCACTCTGTGCCCAGGCTGGAGTACAGTGGTGTGATTATAGCTCACTGCAGCCTCAAATTCCTGGGCTTAAGCAATCTTCCTACCTCAGCCTCCCAAGTAGCTGGGACCACAGATGTGTGTCACTGTACCTAGCTTTTATTAGTTCTTAAAGATGAGATTTTGCTCACTGCACCCAAGGTAACATTTTAATTAGAATTGTGGTGGCATTTTAGATTGTTCATTTCCTCATAATAGAGCCATGAAACAGTATTGTTCCATTATATTTACTAGAATGTTGAGGCACAAAAATGTAGGAAAATTTTCTCCAAGGTTATAGATTAATTGACGTAAGATTTTAAGTCATCATGCTGTCCCATATATTTAAGCAGTTCTGCCACTGCTGACTTTCTGATAGGCTATTTTCCTTTAGTTTTTGATGCCAACTCCTTTACCAATATTATAATTTTGAGTGATTTGATGGTAGGTTTAGAATGATAAACATATTAACTGAAAGTGTCACAATTTTTTATAGTGGCTTAATATATAGGTAAAATATGCTCAGAATTTTGTCTCAATGTCTATATATTGTTTCAACTATCTTATTGGTGAATCTTATTTCTAATGCTTCTGTTTTAAATAAGTCCTTACTACCCTCTTGGAGAAAACATACAAGGGGGTAATAGTTTTAAGTTACCACATAAAATCGTCTTCTCAATGTTTAACTTTCATATGAAGGGATCTTCTTTCATGCTGTGCTTTCATGTATGTTGCTACTTGGTCTGCGTGTTCTTGAATTGCTTTCCTAGTTTGTTATCTTTGTTTCCCCTAGAACCACTAAAATTCCCCTCTTTTTCTATAGATGCATAGCCATCTGGCTTCTCTCATTGCTTCTTTTTAAACTTATTTTCTTTCTTTCATCCTTTGGTCACAGGCAGCACTAATACCACATAGCCAGAGAGTAAATGTTTGTACTCCATGAGTGCTTGAAGGTTTCAAACATGTAGGCCAGCAATGTAAGTGGGAGCTTGTCATTCTTGGTTGCAGGAGTAGAAACCTAAGTTGGTCCTCAGTGGACCTGTGTGCAGCAGTTCTGGGCAGCTTCCCTAGAAATTGGCAGCAATCTTTTCTTCCCTTTCACCAGAAGCCTCTTCGTGTGGTTACCAGGATGAGCTACTTAAGGCATTCAGGGCTTTGCCTCACCTACTTGCTGTCCTTTCATCCAACTTGTGAGCGCTTGCCATCACCTGGCTTCTATGAGCTTCCATTTCACTCTTACAAATGAAGAAAATACTTTAAAAATTACCAAATGCCCATGTCTTTTAGTCTTTGGAAGGTTTAGAATACAGCATGGAGAGAGAGGGAGTGAAGCAAAGGGAACCACCTAGAAAGCACAGAAGCTTCAGTAAATTAAGTGCAAACTAGTGCAAGTGGTGGGATAGTAGAAAACCTGACATTTGAAGAAAGAGAGAAAAAAAACTAACGTTAGGATTGACAAGGACCTAGAACCCATTGACTCCAGGTTTTGGTTCCCAAAAGCCTATCTCAGCACTGTTGTCTTAAAATTGCCAGTGGAAGAAGGTAGTGGAAAGAAGACCTTGCTAAAAATGTATTTCTGGCCCTAGTTGTGTTAGTCCATTTTGCATTGCTATAAATGAATACCTGAGACTGAATAATTTATTAAGAAAAGAAGCTTATTGGGCTCACAGTTCTGAAGACTGTATAAGAAGCACAGTACCAGCACTGGCTTCAGGTGAGGGCCTCAGGAAGCTTATATTCATAGCAGAAGGCAAAGGGGGAGCAGGTGTATCATGTGGCGAGACAGGAAAGCAAGGAAAGGTTGAGGAGGTGCTGGGCTCTTTTAACAACCAGCTCTCATGTGAACTAACAGATCATAGATCAAGAACTTATTCATTACTGTTGGCATGGCATCAGGCCATTGATGTGGGATCTGCCCCCCGATCCAAACACCTCCCACTAGGCCCCACCTTCAGCACTGGGAATTGCATTGCAACATGAGATTTGGAGGGGACAAACATCTAAACCATATCACCAGGTCTATGGACCACTGGAAATTCAGCCCTCTCTCCAATCACCATTTTACAGATGAAGCCCAGAACAAGAACATGACTTTTCCAGCATCTATGGCCATTTAATGGCAGAATTAGCATGCAAAATCTCCCAAATTATTGGTCCATCTCTTTTTCTAATACAACATGGAAATAATGTACTACAACCATGCTCAAGGGGAAGAAGGTATCCTACCAACACAATAATAAGAGCTAAAGTACTGAGCAAATGTTCAATGTCAAGGTAAAAGGAGTAGCAAGGGTAGGGATATACAAGGCCAATCACCTGGAATACTTTGAGGTTTGACCATATGTTCCTCACTATGAAGTCTGAGTTTACATGCACATTCAAAAACACCAAGGCCAGGTATTTTACACAAAGAAAAGCAAAATGACCCAGATTTGGGAAAAAATTGCCCAGCATATGTTTATAACCCGTTTCCTCCTCTTTCCCTTCCAAGGTTTGGACTGGTCCTGTGGTATAGAGTTTGGTGAATTCACTATGAAGATTTAGAGGCTCAGAGCCAAGGAGATCATTACATCTCCTGTGTTTCCAACACAGAGTACAAAAGTGATGGTAGGAATGTGTGATGCAGGTATTTTTTGTGTTGTTTGTGTTAGAAAACACAAACAAAATAAAATAAAAACTTTAGGGAGGCCATAAAGGAAAGAACATTTGAGGTCAAAAATTAGAAAAAATTTGCTAAAACTCAGTCATTTCTCTGATGACCTAGGGAACTTCCTTCCTTGCCACATTCAGATCTCAAAATTTTTTTCCCAGCAATGCAGTAAGACAGAAACTATATTCTGCAGAACAAGTTCATGTTGGTCTTTTGGATTGTCTGTCTTGCTTCTGTGCTTTAAGAAATTAACTCAGTAAATATAGGAGGCAAACAATATGACTAGCCTTTGCCCTAATTTGATTCAGCCCTCAGCATCACTGCTAGTAAGGAATAGGATCCTTTTTTTTTTAAACCCTTCAGATGGCACCAGGGCAAATTCCACAGTGCATTTATGAGTCAACGGATAGTATCTCCATGTGAGAGATATTTATCTGGCTGGAATTTCTAGATGGCTTTCCCACTATAGGAATCCAAGAAACCATTGTCATTCTTCCCTCTCTAGCAAGAGAAAAGAAAATCTCAGCCTTTAGAGCATTCATTCTGGCTCAAGAACAGGGTTTTCTTTCCTGGAAACAAGGACTGGCTCAGTGAGAACTTGAAAGTTGGTGCTTTGTGGTGTTGCCAAAATGCTTGTTGCTGGCAAGCAATGGAAGGAGGTGCTGCTTGGGGGAATCTTGATGCCCCTCAGAGTGAAACAACACATTCATTATTTAATAATTATTCAGCATCGGAGAAATTTTAGCAAGAAAAAACTAAACTTAGATGACTTCGTTATTAGCAGTATTTTAAGAATTATAAACATAAATCAGATTACATTAAATAGTGCGTTTCTAAGCTGAGCACAAGATAAATTGCCTAACAGGCTGAATAGGGAAATAAAGAACTTAGTTGTGGATTCACAGTCTTCTGAATGAGTCTGTAACTGGTAGCACTGGGTGAGCCCATTTCCTGTGCCCTCCAGCCTAAGGCCTCACAAGCACCTCAGCACCTGGATGCTCCTAGGACCCCTCTGTTACCAGCCCCATGTGCTGGCAATAACTGAGGCAACAGTGAGACTGACCCAAATAAAGGAGTCAGAACCATAACATGGCACATAATTCAGTCTCTTCCAGGCCTCAGCAATAACCATTTTGTACCCATAACTTCTCCTAAGAGATTTTATTTCCCAAATAATCACCCACTATAGCAGTTCTCTAAGATCCCTGGGAAGGCCAAGGCTAGTTCAGGTGGTCCATTAGATCAATCTATTTCCATAATCACACCAAGATGCCATTTACCTTTTTCACTGTATTGACACCTGCACTGATGATGTCAAAGCAATGGTGACAAAAACTGCTGACACCTTAGCACAATTCAGGGCAGTAGCACCAAATTACATTAATATTTATTATATTCTTTACTGCCACACATTTCATAGTACTCAAAAAAAATCCCTGCCAGTTTGAGTGTCCTCAATGAAACTGTGATAACTACTCATTTTATTAGATCTCAACCCTGAAGTACACGTTTTTAATATTCTGTGTTATGAAATGGGAAACATGCATAAAGCACATACATCTCTTGCATATGAAAGTATAATACTTGTCTCAAGGAAAAGTACTTGTGCAGTTGTTTGTGTTACAAGCTAAACTAGCTGTTTTTGTCAAAGAATATCACTTTTACTTGAAAGAAGAGCCATGAGACAAACTACAATTATTCATACTTGGGTATTTGGCAGGCATTTATTGATTGAATAAATGTACTATATTCAGTATATCAAGAAATGCTTTTGGTTGAAAGAACAGAAATGACTTTAACAGTAAGAAAATTACGTCTCATAACTAGAAGTCAAGAGACAAAAGAGCTCAACAATGTCATAAGATCCAGGTGCTTTCCATCCCTCTCCTCTGACTCCTCAGTGTTGGCTTTCCTCTTGTTGCAGGTAGCAAGATGGAAGCAGCCTGTCCAAGGCATCATGTTTAGGCAGGACAATGTCCTGAGCAAAAGAGATTATTTTCCCCTTCTGTGGCTTTCTGTTAGAGGAGAGGACACTTTTTCTAGATTGCCACTGCAGGCTCACATTTCATTGGCCTGAATTTTGTCACATGTCTATCCCTAAACTAATCCCTGGCCAGGGGAATGGAATATGCCTTTGAACTAATCAGGCCCAATATAGGGTCTACAGGTGGGGTCAAGTTTCCCTGAGGCAAAGACCTGGTAGATGAAGGGCTGATCACCCTTCAAAACAAAATTAGGGCTTTGTTAACTAGGAAGAAAAAAAGGGAGACTAGAAGAAACCTGTAGGCAATCACATAGGGACCACTCCATTCAGTAAATGAAGGTCTAGAACAGTGGTTACCAAATGCGGGTCAGCAGCCAGGCTACAAAGGAATCACCTGGGAGCTTGTTAAAAATACAGCTCAAAGTGTAATGTGTATATGAATTGCCTAGGAATCTTGTTAAAATACATATTCTGCATTTGCAACAAGTTCCCAGATAACACAGTCACTGCTGACTTATGGACCACACTTTGAGTAGGAATGATACAGACCTTCCACTTCAAATTACTGACTTGGAATCTCCTGAATGATCCTAGTTTAAGAACTGGGTTCAATGTGGTAAACATCAACAATGTACAAGATGGGCATTCATTCATTCATTCAGTCAGTCAATAATTATTCATAGAAACCAAGCCCTGTGCTTACTGCTGAAACTACAAAGGGTCCACATGCTGTTGGGGAGGAGTGGGCTGACCTATATACAGATATCTTTAAAGTGAGAAGGGCTCCAGTAGAGATATGCACAAAGTGTTCTGCCATCTGATCAAGGAACAAGGAGTGACTTAGTAGTGAAGGTGGGCTTGACAGGAAATGTTTCACAGAAAAGGAGAGACATTAGAGCTGACTTTCCTTAGGTGCCCAGAGACAGACAATGTGTGTGCAAGAAAGTCTGGAAATTTGAATGAGCCACGTACATTCAGGGAACAGTGAGAATGTCTCTGTGGCTTATGCACAGGCTGAGATGGGGTGGGAGAAGAAAAAATCAGGCTGAGGCTAGATTATGAGAGGCCTTGAATGCTGTATTAAATCACTCTATAGTAACTGTTCTCAACCTTGACTGCACTTGAGGAGCTTTTAAAAATCCTGATGCTGGCCAGGCACTGTGGCTTACACCTGTAATCCCAGCACTTTGAGAGGCTGAGATGGGTGGATGGCTTGAGCTCAGGAGTTCAAGACCAGCCTGGGCAATATGGTGAAATCTCATCTCTACAAAAAACACAAAAATTAGCCTGGTGTGGTGGCATGTGCTTGTAATGCTAGCTACTTAGGGGGCTGAGGCAGGAGGATCGCTTGAACCTGGGAGGTGGAGCTGCAGTAAGCCAAGAGGTCGAGCTGCAGTGAGCCAAGGTTGCACACTGCACTCTAGCCTGGGTAACAAAGTGAGGCTGTCTCAAAAAAAACAAACAAATAAACAAAAATCTAGAAAAGCAAGAGCAAATCAAACCCAAAATTAATAGAAAAAAAAAAAAAAAAAAAAAAAATCCTGACGCCCAGGCCACACCATAGAGCAATTTAATTCTACTTTCTTTACGGGAACAGGAAGGAGTAATGCAGGCATCAGTATCTTTTAGAGGAGGTGATGCAGTGGGTTGCCAAAGCTGAGAACCACAGCTTTACAACAGCTAGTGCCTGCCCAACCTGTTTGCATAGAGCACGTTCTTCAATAAGGATAGAGCCCTTCCTTCCTAAATGTACTTTTCATTTCCATTTGATATTTAAAATCAGAATTATTAAAAAGTATTTTGGCCCCAGAGGCCACGTGATGGGCACTGAGATGGAACTCCCCTGCACAAGGGCCTGTGGGATGCAGGCAAATGAAGCCTGCCCTTTGTTCCCCTGCCTGCATTGGTGAAAGCTGATCCCTGTGAGCCTCTGTCACTGGGCAGAGGGCACGTTTTTCTCTCACTAGCCTAGACCACAGGGACCTTTGACTAGAAATATCTGCAAAGTGTTTGCTGAATGAGAAACGTTTCATCACCCCACCCTGTTTTCCTAACTGAATGCCTATTCAATAATTTGTGTATATTTTTATTTGATAAGATGAACTCTCCACATTATAAAAGCTGACAGAATATTCTTTTTGTAGGTGCTTCACAATATGAATTTGAAAGGCTAGCTCTTGGTTTCGATCTCTGTACTCAGGTGCTGAAATGTTATAGTTAAGAAAGGTTGTCCCTTCTCTCATTTATCACCATTAAGTTTCCTGAAATAATCTTTAAAGTGTCCAAACATTGCCATAAAATGTTCGTCACTGTTGTCTCCTCAAGTTGCTGAATTTCTGGGTTGTTTTAAATTTTTAAAATATATTTTAAACACATAAATATATAAAACAAACATAACTAAAAAAAAAAAACAAAACACCACTCCAAACTTGTTTACCATCTAACTCAGTCCCCCAGTTTTCAGTCAAATTATTCCACCCTCTTTAGTAGAATGGCACATGCTCTTCTGCTGTGGGACAACAGAGAAAGGAGGGTGACCTGTGCAACTGCCACAGTCCCCTAGCTTCCTGGGAATGCTTGCCTGACTTTGGGCAGACATTGATGTGGCCCTAATGAGTATTTTGACTGTGTTGTTTTACAGCTCTATCCAACACACAAGTGGGGAAGTGCGGCTTTGTTTTCAGAATTAAACTGTCTCCCAGGAAGCTTTCTGCAGTCCCCTTTGCTTTTCCTTGGAAAGGCCCCAGTTAAGAGGCAGGCTGTTGTTCCTCCACAGCAATTCACGGGTTTACTTTTCAAATAATGTACCCAATCTCTTCCCTCCATGATAGTCCAGGCTTTTCCCTACAATCAAATGATGTGACCTGAAAACAAACACTTATCTGGAGTTCTGACTCAAAGAACTGGATTCTACGGGAATTACAGGCTTTTGCTCTGGCTGTACAGATGTGACTAGGAATCCATGCCATAGCTCATGCAGCTTTGGAAATGGCCTCCATGTGCAGAGGTGCACCAGTGTGTGGGTGGCCCAGGATGAGGCCAGCGCCTCCTGGGCAAGCCTCAGCTGGGTTTGAGTCTCGGAGCAGGAGGTCTGTGACTCACACCTGTGCACTTATAATGTGATTGCCCCCACCACCAAGTTTGCATTCAGGGAGCCCCAGATGACAGTCCTCAGCATCCTCACTTGTGTGGTGGCCACTCATTCCGGTGGCCACTTTAACAGAACTTGGCTCACCCAAGTCCTTGCTTGGATACAAACAAGCTGGCCTCTGACAGGAGGGGAGTGGAGATTCCCTCAGCATCTTGTTGGGGACATTACCTCCCTCTTTGTGGATGGCTGATTGCTTTTGAAATACCAGGAATCATTATTTTACCTTACAGGGCTAGTGTGTGCTATGATTAATTTAGCTAAGGCTCTTAGAAAACAGTAAATGCTGAGCAGCAGCCCTGTTAGTTCCCCTTTTAAAAAGCACTTTAACAATCCTGGGCAGCTAGTTTGATGAGAAGTGCTACTTACTGTGACTCTCATGAGCATTCCTTTTTTTAACTGATTCTCAAAGGCTTTTCAGTCTCTCTGATAAAAATGCACTCCTTCCAAATGAATCTGAAAATTAAGCAGGAACACAAATTTTATCTTAAAAAAAATCAATCCTAATTTCTAATGAAGAAAAAAGAAGAAATAATTTCATCCTAATTAGGAGGGAGACACATAGCCTGCATTTTGGAGATAAATAGGACAAGGGTTTGAGTTTAAAGTTTAACTGGAAAATGTCTGCCTCAAAGGAAAATTCAATTTGAAGAACTTGCTCACAGCCTAGGGATCCCACTCAAACCATTCTTACAGTTTCCCCTTCTCTTTCTTTCCCCTCCCACACCCTCTTTCACTGCTGAACCCCACAGGAAACAGGAGTGAGTCTTTACATGGTGCATTAGTACATCTTGGGTGGTGCCGAAAAGCAGGGATTACAAATGCAGGAGAAGGTTTGGCAGCGGATGTGCCTCAACCCAGCTCTACAGATTCCACATTCTTCCCCTGGAGGGGAGCAGTCGCTGCGGTTGCCTGAAAGCCATACTGCCAGCAGCCAGGGGTTCAGCAAATGCCTGGGGAGCTGAAGGGTTTTCTGGAAACCTGTCCAATCTCTGCCTCTTTGGGGATGCACAAGGATGTGCCAAATGCATCCCGTTTGATAGTTTTAAAATTGCCCCTTACATGTGTTTTTAATTTTTATGTAATAAAGGAATGACTGCTTGATAATTAAAGAGCAGCTGGTGATTAAAATCAGTTTCGTTGATGACTAACAAACACAAATAAAACCTGATATAAATCTTTATGAGATCTGTGAGGCCCACAGCAGCGACAATTCCTCTTCTCCTAATCATGTTTTCTCTGAAGCAGCACGTCTCTCCACTTCCCCTAGCTTTGTTTTGGCCTAGTAATTCTCTCTGGCTTATACAATTGCTTATCCTTTAACCTCCTGTTTTTGATGACCAGCTAGTGTTTATTTTAAATGTAGTTACTGGCCAATTAAATAGAAATTAGCTACATTTAGAGACTGAGTTCCTGATTACTGCTTCTTCCTTTAGCAACTATTCATTCTTCTTTAGGCTGTCTTGAAAGCAGAAATCCCAAGGCACAGATCACTTTGCCTGGGCACCTTAGAGTAGCTACCTGTTAATCCAGAGTTGAAGAAAGTAGAGATGGGACGCTCTCTTCACCCATTAGGACCTGGAGCAAGCTGGGCTGTTACTGGAGACGTTTCCTGTTGTAATTCAGTTAACCCTTTTTTTTTGAGACAGGGTCTTGCTCTGTCACCCAGGCTGGAGTGCCGTGGTGTGACCTTGGCTGACTGCAACCTCTGCCTACTGGGTTCAAGCCATTCGCCCGCCTCAGCCTCCCAAGTAGTTGGGAATACAGGCACCTGCCACAACGCCAGGCTTATTTTATATTTTTAGTAGATCCAGAGTTTCACCATGTTGGCCAGGCTTCTCTCGAACTCCTGACCTCAAGTGATCCATCCCCCTCGGCATCCCAAAGTGCTGGGATTACAGGAGTTAGCCACCGTGCCTCGCCAACCCATTTTTGATTCAAGACAGACTCTCCTACCAGTAGATCAGGCAAATTTCACAGAAGGAAAAAAAGGAGGAGGAGGGAGAGAAGCCTTTGTTTCTTTAGGGCAGCTGAAATCCATCTTCCTTTTTACCCAAAAACTGACACAACTGCTTGTTTGGGTGAAGGAGAGGCACCCTTTCTGGGTTGGGTAGAGCACATAGGCTATAGCAGTCAGCATTAGGGAACAGCCAACCTGTAGGCTTCCTATATTTAAGTCAAAGCCATTGTGCTAATCACCCAGATAATCTGATATGGGTATCATTTATTCTAAAATGAGAACAAGAAACACATCTATGATAGAATTCATTAGTGCAATCCTTTTTCAGTCCCAACATGTGCTTCTGCAGATTGCATAATGTCTATATAAATTCTATAGGTTGTATTTCAATTTGTATTGCTTCCTCATGAGGAAATGTCATCTCCTGTTGCTATGGTTTGAATGTTTGACCCCTCCAAACCTCATGTTGAAATCTGAGCCTCAGCATTGGAAGTGATGCCTGGTGGGAGCTGTTTGGGTCATGGGGGTGGGTCCCTCATGAATGGCTTGGTGCCATCCTCATGATAATAAATGAATTCTCACTCTATTAGTTCTCACAAGAGCTGGTTGTTCAGAAGAGCCTACCCTCTTACTCCCCTCTCTCTTGCTGGCTCTCTTGCCATGTGATCTCTGCACACACCAGTTCCCCTTTGCCTTCCACCATGAGTCCTCAACCTGAAGTCCTCAACAGAAGCAGATACTGGCACCATGATTCTTGTACAGCCTGCAGAACCATGGGCCAAATAAACTTTTTTTTTTTTAAATAAATTACCCAACCTCAGGTATTCCTTTATAGCAACTCAGACTATGATGCCTATAGGGATCAGTTAACTTTGTTTATAACAGCAAAAAGTGGAAAATTGCCTAAAGTACAATGAATGATTGGGATTGGTTAAATAAAGTAAATTAGACATTCATTTAATGAAATACAGTTCAGCCATTAAAAATGGAAAGGAATTCCACTCTGTAGAGCGATAGAAGAGCCATCATTCTTACACTTACAATGAAAGTAACTGGGTTAACTTCAAATTCAGAAATTATTTTGGAATTTATCAGAGAGCTGAAGTGTCAGAACAAACAACAGGCTCAAAATCCGAAGGCACGAGGGTCAGCCTAAAGCCTGAGGACACAGAATAGACCTGGTGTTGAAGAATCTTAAAGGTTTTGTCCACAATTTCTAGCCTGGAGACTGGGACCATGGGGGGTTGCCTGGCAAGGTTTCACTGGGGCAGGTCTGCTGCTGTTTTCCAAAGTTACTTAGGGGAGCTGAAGGGTTTTCTGGAACCCCTTAGTTAGCTGGCCCTTACTTAGGTCAGCTTATTTCTTCCCCATCCCTTTCAGGGAAGTTATGATTAATTCGTAACATAGGAAAATGCATTTATCACAATCTGCATTCCATCTTTTCTCCCACATCCTGGTTGAGGTGTTTTTGTTGTTATTTTAATTTTACTTTAAGTTCTGGGATACATGTGCAGAATGTGCAGGTGTGTTACATAGGTATACATGTGCTATGGTGGTTTGCTGCACCTATCAACCTGTCATCTAGGTTTTAAGCCCCATATGCATTAGGTATTTGTCCTAATGCTCTCCCTTCCCTTGCCCTGACCCCCTGACAGGTCCCAGTGTGTGATGTTCCCCTCCTGTGTCCACGTGTTCTCATTGTTCAACTCCCACTTATGAGTGAGAACATGCAGTGTTTGGTTTTCTGTTCTTTTGTTAGTCTGCTGAGAATGATGTCTTCCAGCTTCATCCATGTCCCTGCAAAGGGCATGATCTCATTTTTTATGGCTGTATAGTATTCCATGGTGTATATATGCCACATTTTCTTTATCTGGGTTGAATTTTTTAAATTTTACATGTAATAAAATTCACTTTTTGTGGTACAGTTCTATCAGTGTTGGCAAATGCACAGAATTGTATTATGGATCACTATAATTCTATACATAATAATTCCATGACTGCAAAGTTTCCTTATGCTATTCCTTTATAGAAAACCCACCCCTCAATCCCTGATCTGCTATCTATTCATCTATTTTCCTCCCTATAGTTTTGCTTTTTCCAGAGTGCTATATGAATAGAATCAAACAATTCTCGGTCCAGCCTGTCAAAATGCAGGTAAGATTTATCTATGTTGTTTTGTGAATCAATGGTTCATTCAGGTTTATTGCTGGTGGCATTCTATTACACATATGTACCACATTTTGTGGTATGTCTAGGTTGTTTCCAATTTTTAAATCAGCTACAAACATTTACCTATAGGTTTTTGTATTGTAGGAGACCAGAATATGCCACCTTGAAATATGACTTTTTGGCATATGGATTGTTTTGTGCTAATCATTTTGAGAAACTGTAGACACAGAAGATCTGAAAATAGAGTACAAATCATATTTATGTCTATAAAGGAAATCTCCATTTGTACGGGTGTCTCCCTATGTACTATGAAGAGAAGGATGACATTACATTAGTAGAGACTTAACAATGGAGAAGGCACCGGACTTAAATCTGTGTAAGAAACCTTATCCTTGTTATCCTGCTTTCCTGGGCATCTCCTTATGATTGTCCTTCCTCACATCCTTCCCTCTTTGTTTTGTTTCAGTAGACAATTGTACTTGTCTGAATTCAAAGCCATACCTTTGTGATTTACTTATTCCTTTGGGTATCTCCCATATATACATAAGTTATATATGTTGTTAAATTTTTTGTTTTCCACTTGTTAATCTACCTTTTGTTATAGGAGTTTGTTCCAACTAAGAACTTGAAGAGTAGGGAGAAAATTATTTTTTCCTCTCCTATAGTTTGAACATCTCTTATTTTGTTTTGGATACATAGCTAGGCATGAGATTGCTGGGTTTTATGGTAGGTATATGTTTAACTTTATAAGAAACTGCCAAACTGTTTCCCAACGTGGATGTACAATTGCGCATCCCTACCAGCAATATATATGAATTCCAATCCTCAACATTCTCACCAGCACTTCATATTGCCAGGTTTTAAAATTAGAGCTATTCAGATAGGCATGATGTGGGTTTTTAGTGTGGTTTTAATTTGCATTTCTCTAATGATTACTAATGAACATTTTTATTATGCTTATTTTACATCTAAATATGTTCTTTAGTAAAAACTCTTGTTTCAATTTTTTGTTTTTAAAAATTGGGTTTTTGTTTTCTGGTTGTTGAGTTTATGAGTTCTTTATATATTTTGGATATAAGTCCTTTGACAGATGTGATTTTAAAATATTTTCTTCTAGTTTGTGGCTTGTCTTTTTTTATTCTCTTAATCAAAGAGCCAAAGCTTTTGCAAAACAAAAATATTTTTAAATTTTAATATAGTTTATCAATTTTTCTTTCATAAATATGCTTTTAGTGTCATATCTAAAAACTGTTTTCCTAACTAAGGATTTCTCAACAGGTGCACAATTGACATTTTGGACCAGAAAATTCTTTGTTGTGGGGGGTGT